TAAATGGAGAATGAAAGCGGACGAGTGACTGTATGATGAATATATAGTGCATTGAGGGTGGCATACAATCAATGTTGAGGAAAGCTGTTTAAATTGCTCTTCATCGACAAGAACCGAATAGAGCGGAATCGTTTTCGTTTCAGCCATTGTTTCCAATTATAGTCGTATCATGGCAAAAAGTTGAAAAGAAATCAAACGACCTGTAATGCAAACGGGAAAATTATAACTTGATATACTATGGCATACATCCCCATTTCGATCGATGTCATTGAATTCTGGATTAAAATCAAAACCATCCATCGTTATGGGCTTTTGAAAACCGCATTTCTTGAAATCCGATAAAAAAATTTTTTAAGACGATTCGACTAAAACTTGAGAGTCGAGTGGCGGTTGCTGGAGTGTCCGGATGCTTTCCACCATCATATGGCTCCATGCAAAGCATCAAGACGCCATAAAAACACATGATGTGTGTGTATATAGTGGATGAGCGGTACATTACATCACGTTGCCTATCACCCCATCGTCTATTGTTCGACTGTCAAGAATTTGAATGGGACTGTCTTCGCATTTCACCAATTATTCGCTTTGACATAATTCAAGTCATATTAAAAGTTTTCTTCGTTCAAAACGATTGTTCGCATGTTCATTTTCATTTTTATTGCTTCGTTGCATACCAAAAGACGAAAAAACACACATATATTCACGATATGTTCAAGTTTTACTTTTCTGCTGCTGTTGCTGCCGCTGTTTTTCACTGTGTTGTGTGTAATTTTGCAAATGCGTAAAAATCGTAAACATCTTCCATCATGTAGTCAACTTTTTCAAAAGGTTCCAAGGTCGTTGTGAGACTCTCTCGGTTTACTGTATTCGCTCTCTATCGACATTCAATTCCAAATTCTTTCCAACCCCTTTCTTCACAGTCGAACTTCCCGAAATGAAAACATTCAACTATTCTTTGCACGAAAGGGCACCGAAACATCTATTTTTACATTCAAGACTATGAATTGTGTGATGGAAGTGATTCAAGCTATGAAATGAGGCGGTTTGTTAAATAAATCATTACCGAAAGGACCGCGCAATCGAAAAAGCGTTCTTCTTAGAATTTTCTATAGAAATAAGTGGATTTCTGGCAAAGAACACTGATTCAGAGATTCGTAACACACTATTCCAACTCGAATGTAAAAATGAAAATGTGTCAGTGCCGAAGCGATGTTTACTTTTTCGCATGGATCGTCACATTTCATGTTTGCTTCAACTGAATTCCGCATCTCAATACCAACAGATAATCTTTTATCTTGTTGCTGGTCATTTTTTTGCTTTGCTTCGGCTTCATCTACGCCTCAACACAAGCTTTCTTGTATTGTTACATTTTCTGAGTTATTTTTTTTCTCTGTATATAAGTGTCATTTGTTTTCAAACTAGAAGCAATAAATCACCGTTGCTAAGCCACCACAAGGGAAAAAATATATTTCCTTGAACATTCACCCGAAACTTGGGGAAAAAACAGAACCGATGTTAAAAAAAACGTTCGGACCTCTTTGGTGCTAAGAAATGATATCTATAAAGCTCTATTTGCCATTCGCTACATTTCTTACACACTGAATATGCGTACATTTGTCTCCCTATTTTATGTGAAAAGCCACCAAAATGAAACATTTTAAACAAAGCGCACTTGTTTTGTGTGTGTGTTTTGTATTCATATTTCAAATGGTTTTCATTGTGTGCGCTGCGTTCTCTCTTATACTTTGTTTGCCATTGAAAATGGAAAATTTCCCCCATTTTCAACCATTTTTTTTTTCATATGTTGATTTATAAAGCGAAAGAAGATCAAACAGGAAGCTGTCATATTTCACAGCCATGCGTTGCAGACAAAACATCAAGTTCACATGTACTCGTGCAAGCAAAACCAAAAACAACAACGTTCAAACGAGTTGAAAGCATGATAAAATTGCCATCTGGCCAAGCAAGAGTGAAAATTGCAATGATGACGCTCCAAGCGAATGTCGTTCATGGTTTTGATACAGAGGCATGTGTGTGTACTATGCTCTGCTAGAGATTTCTAGTTGCGATTTGAATTACTTGATTGACAGCTGAGGATTGGCTTCATTCCACAATGTGTACAACAGTGTATGCATGGCAGAGTGGCAGTAGCTTGAGCATATTCCACCTTCCCTCCAAAACGGACACACAAAATTGAATGTGTTTTGCTAGTGAGAGCGTGCGAATGCGATAAGTTTGTTTGGTCACTGGCCTAACATAAATTTTCCATTGCTTTAGGTTACAGGCAACAACAGATGTCAGATATGGTTGTTCCCGTTGTTGCCACCAAAAGATACTCCAACCATTGATATGATAGATGTGAATGAACTTTGAGTGGTGCAATGTAGCATCACTTCAGTTACAGTACACACACACAGTAGCATTGCCATCGTTTGAAACGAACGATTGAAGCATTTGTATCCGTTCGAAGAGTTCATTGAATCGCAAACGAATAAAAAAAGAAAAAAAATAACACAGAACAGAAACATATTCTTATCTCATCAGTGATAGCAAGTCAAATTCATCCGTTGTCGCAGCGAAAAACTTCGTCTTCCCATCTCTATCAAAATAATATTTATCGATATACACATTCTTTGTGTCAACAGTATGGAAATATTGTAAACATCGTACCGAAAACAGGATGGCATTTCCTATTCGACTCTGGCTATTCGCCTGTTCAATTGCTCGACATATCTTTTTTGCTGCTGATGGTGCCATACTGATGTTTACCATACGAAAAAAGAAAGAAACCAGAAATTCCACGCACAGCAAAAAATTGGTTTATCGACTCAGTGACTAGAGCGAACGAGTGAACGAGCGAGGAAAATATCAAGAAATAAAAATTTCGATTTAAAGTTTTTTTTTGTTTCTATTGTTATGTCTTTCCATTTTAGATTATTGTATTTTTCCAAGTTGTTCTGCACTGCTTCGGTTCCATTGTGCAATTGCTTGACTGCCATTTTCATATTGCTCTTCGTTTTTTTGTTGTTGAATGGAATTTTATTATTTTGATTTGATTTCTTATTACAATTTTATTTTCGAGTATATAATCATATTTTGCTTTATTCGAAAATTCAAAATTGTTCCACCACCACCGCCACAACGCCGCTTCAGTCGCCATCATTGTTGCCATTGCAGTACACTCTCCCCGGAAAATATTCGTTTGTACTATTTTTGCTTTCGATATCTGACTGTTTCCATTTTGTGTTCATAAAATAACCTTCATCATAATTCGATTTGATGATTTGATTGAATGAACGAACGAACAAACAAACGAGCGGACGAACGGTGGCAAAAGCGAATGTGGAAAAAGTGGTTTGAAGAATGCAACTCTATCACATTTTCCGCTAAATATAAGCCAACATACAAAAACATGAAAAAGTATCATTTGGAAAGCATTGTTGGCACATATCTAATAGGTTTTTCGGTGAATTGGAACAAAACAAGAGCAAATAAACGACCTGATAAAAAGGAATCGATAATACGAATGTATTCGAGTGGGGAAGAGAGAGAGAAAACGAAAAACACATACACACACAGTTAATCGTATTTTTAGCACATCTGAACTATTTCAGTCACTCAAATTATCACAGTTAAATGCGATTTTTAAATTCGGTTTTCCACTTCGAAATAAAAATCGAACAAAATGCGGCTTCTGATACTGGTACACCAAGTTACAAATGCAAAATACGAAGTTGCAACATGGGGAAAAAAAATGACAAGCACATTTTGCAATCACTTTATTCGTTTTGTTTAATCTGATCCGGGATGATTGTGAAGCTTCTTTTTTCCCATATTCTTTTCCCATATGGGTGAACTGAACTGTGATGGAACAATTTGAAAAAAGAGACGATAGACGAGAAAAAAAAAGAACTGGAACGAATATCATAAACAAAAGTTCAAATGAGCAGTGTTTTTGTCGCTCAAAAAATTGTGCACATGCAGCAACATTGGAACCGGGAGGCCCCAGATATTGGTATATAGTGTGAAAGCGACATCGTGTTGGCATTGCTCAGTGCTCATTGAACGTCCATCAGACACGATTTTTGATGCACTAAATCTGTCGGCTATGGTTTTTGAATGGTGACTCCTCATTGTCACACATATTTATTGATACTTTGCTCAGGCATTCGTGCACATAATGTCAGTGGAATGTGTCATTGAGTGCGTTAGACGAGGGTCAGAAGGACGAATGGCACACAAGAGAGAGAGAGATAGAGAGAGAGTGATAGAGAGAAAAAAAAATCGATACGAAATAGCATTGAACAATTTTAAATGGTGAATGTTGCATATATGCGAAGCACACATATCAAGAGAGTGAGAGAGTGCCAAGTCGCAAGCATCAAATTTGATGGTGTTGAAATTTATGATATGAAAAACAATGGCAGTCGTTGAATTTCATCACAATTTCCGATGGTATGATAATGCAAAGAAGCGAATAGATTGCTCGGTTAAATCGGGAATTTACGATGTGGATTGGATTCAGTACGCGCCATATGTTTCGATTGCAGTGCCAAACGAAGAATAGTATGGATGATAGAGTAGGCGACGGGGAAGGGGAGGTGGAAAGAAGAAGAAATAGAACGGTTTAGGTGCATAAATATGTATATCTGGCCAAATTTTATCTAATCCAAAGCATATAAAGTGCGAAAAACGATTGGACCTTTTGATTCGATAACCAATAACCATATTTCAGACTGTCAAATTGGATATTGAAACGATAGTTTCGTTTCGGCCACCAATCAAAGAAGCTCGTAATCCGTAATTTTGAGATACAATCACTATACCATACACTTTATTCGCGCTATGCTCGTGTGGTTATTTTTGTGTATGTGTATGTTGTACAATGCATATCCATGTGTGCAAAACATAGAAAACCCAATTAAATTAAAATATCTTTCATTTACCTCCGTATAATGTAATTTATTCATTCATTTCGTCTGTGTTTTGCTCATTTGCAGGCGATTCTGCAGCAGCAAAAACGATCATCAGATAAACTGAACACATGCGCGCAACGAGATGGCCCGCCATCGAGACAGTAGGCAGCCTGGAGATAGTGTGGATTTTCCAATGGCACTAAAATAGTAACCATCATCCAGTGATATTTGGTAAGGAAACTTTACCATTCGTATATTCCAGTACACAGACCATCCGTGCGGGATGGGCGCTTGAGTGCGTGTGTACCATGTTAGGTGTGAATTGATGAAAAACAGTATTTCATTCGAATATTTGTTTGATTATGCAACAGCCGTTCCGATCAAAACCAAATTAAATCACAATCACGTACGAAAGCATCGTTGTTAATCCAATGCACACACAACTGAAATGGGAATTTGTCGAATCGCTCTTATTCCACATTCCACACCAAAATACCTAATAGTTTCACTTGAATACTGCTCAACTTTTCAATTGCATTCTCGTTTCTTGCAAATTTCAATGCTGGCCCCATCACACCATGCAAATACATTGTTTTTGGATTTTTGGCTTCAGTTTTTTTATTTCATCTCATGGCTTGTGAAATATTATTGAAAATACTGGGGAGTTTTCGTTTAAACAAACAAAACCAAAGTTAAAAATGCCAGTGTGTGGTTGCACCTCTGGTGCCGGTGAAAAAAATTGTGTGGAAAAAAAACGAATAAGTGCCAATAAATACAGAAAAAATGTGTACAATAGGCCAAAAATCATACATTGAATCGAGCGATTACGCACATCCGTACATGCATAGCGGCTGTTAAAATCACTTGCATTGTGGCGAGCAGAATGCGCACGCGGGATAGCCCGGAAAAAAAGAGCACACAAACCCAAATATCTATTTAAAATTATTTTTTATGCAAATATTCACACACATGATATATGTGTGTACGTATATTCACGCAATAAATACGAGCATTCTGGCGAACAGACAAACATATAAGCGTGCATAAAATTGTAAATCACAATAGAAACCGCAAAAATAAAAGCGATATTTCTTTGGCGAAATCTCGAGCACGCAAAAAATCAGTAAAAACAACAACGATGAAAAAAAATAATGAAAATAACGAGCGACAACATCAGCCGCTGATGATTTAAAAAATAAAATGTATGCGTGGCAAAAAGCGAGCACCACACACACACATTCATTTACACGATTGAAGTGATGCGAAGACAAAAACGATATGAGATCCCATTCCAGCAAGAGACCGAGAGAAAAAATGTTAAAATAATAATGCGCATCGGGCTGAATGCAGGAAAAATAATGCCACAGAGATGAAGTGCAGAAAAAAAATGCAATGGCACAAAATCATTTATTAGAGAATTGCATAAAATGTTCGAGACTTGTGAACATAAAATATGAATGAACGTTCGAGATGTGCTCTCACAAAACGGTACAATATTTGATTCGCTTCGTTCCCATAACTCCCAGACGTAATCTACATATTCACAAGTGTATTGAGTCATCATATATGCGTTCGATATGTGATATTCAACTGCATCGAACGTCATTATTTTCTGGTTGTCGATCTCATTCATGCCCATGCGCCTCCGCTGCCCGCCGTTCAACGTTGTGTACCTTCCGATTTAATCATGCACTGCCACGAGTACGGTTGGACCAAAAATGCTCTTCACATCGTCATCGCACACAACCATGATTATTATCAACACTTCTCTCTAATCTCTGGTGCATATAGAAACATGTACACATTTAACCCGTTCAAATGAATATCCAGTCGCGTAAATCGTGCATCTTTATCACGTATGTGCTGTGCGGTTTCTATTCCGCCAGCGTGATTGCATAACATGACACAACTCTCAGCTCAAATCAACAACATTTTTCATTACTTTTTGAATTGTGATATTTTTTTTTCTCTTCTGTACTCTACACCAACGCTGGTATTACCGAGAACCCGGTATTGAGCGCTTGATGCATTGAAACAAAAACCCCATTAAAAGCTCCCAGCATTGATTTTATATTTCTGTCAAATCAGTTTGAGTAAATTCGGGTTTTGTATGAAAACATGAAAATTCCATAGAAAATAATACTCTGGTTGATTCATCGAACATATCTAACCAAATAGCGTCCGGCCAGAGGTGCTTTTGGAATCCGATCAATGGCAATTATCGTTGAAAGATTCACAATTTTCGCGAAAACATGCAGACATGATGACAAATCACAGAATATATGATCCAAAACAAAACGAAAAGAATAAAATGGAATCGCCGCTTTTAATGATTCTACAAATCCGTTTGGCCGCATCCATGAATCGCATAAATTCAAAATTCTGTACATTCTATTCACGCGGTGCTTTTGTGCACGAGAAATAATTTGGTTTCCTTTTAATTTGTTTGATTTGAATCTGAAAGCGTTTGGCGAATGGCTTTGTGTTCAATTCACGCAAACAGAACGGAATGTCATTATTTACGTAAATGGAATTTAGTTTTTGCGATTGTGGCCGGTGCCATAAAATTGGCCGATCCGTCGAAACGCAAATCATAAAGTACAAATTCTCTCTCTCTCTCTCTCCCATTTGTTGTCCTCCTTTTGCTCAATATTCGTTCGTTAACTGCATGCGTTTCCACATACATTATTCAAATATTTTGTGGTCGTTTGGCAATTTTTTCGTTGGTTGCCCTTTGTTTTTCGTCGTCGCATTTGTGGTTTGCGCAAAAAGTCACAGCACACATTTTGTATATATATATATATATGTATGAGATTGCAAAGTAGTAAATATTTATCCAACACATCATCAAGCAAAACTGTGTGTTTTGTACCTTGTGCATTTGATTTTAATTTCATTTTACCCAGAATGCAGCAGAGAGGAAAACAAGCGAAAAAGAGTAGAAATTTATTCAAATATGACTTGCGCACATGACAAGATCATTTAAATTTGATATGCTCCATTTGGACAAATTAAAAGCACGGAAAATGTCATTCAATAATGAAATTGATTTTTTTTTTTCGTCTCTTTTATTTCAGATCACGCTGTGCAAAAATAGATGGCCGAAAACAATTCTATCAGTTCGAAGGTTTTTAATTAAATTAGACAAAAAAAGTGTTCAATTTATTGAAAAACTCATAAAAAAAAGCGTCGACAAAAAAAAACTAATGGACACGAATTCCAGTGAAAAATTGGGAAAGTGACAAAATTTGATACATAGAAACACAGAGTCGTATGCGAGGGCAAACAGCGAGTCAATAGAAAAGTTACGAACAAATATCGAAACAATAAATGTCGATGGCAAATAAATTGATGTTACAAAGTTGCTGATGAAAAAAAATATAACGACCACACAGACACACACACATCGAGAGAGCATACGAAGCGCGCACGTCGACGTTGCTGGCGGCCCAAGTGAATGCATGTGTTACATTGACTTGAGCGAACAAGTGCAACCCAATTTTAAACTCGTGGTCGTACAGTGGACAAAATATTATACCGAATGTTGTTACAATCGGCGAACAAAAACTTCTTATCCAGCAAAAAATATCCCATAAGCACAAACAATATAAAATAAATTGGAAACTGAAAATTAACAATAACAACAACATCATCAAATTGCGAATGTGTATGAGCAAAAAAAGGGTTGCCAAAGGAAAAATCGAATAAAAATCAATTTGGTGGAGAGCGCCAGTGAGTTGAAAGTGTTGCGGGTGCCGCAATAGAGTTCCATCCCATTCGTCGATGTGTGTATAAAACCAGCAAATACATTCATTATGATGATACTAATATATCTTCTGTTGATTTCAACGGGACTCAGCAGAGCCAGTAGCAGTAGCGGTACTAGCAATATAAACAATGTTATTAATAACAATAATGGTGACAGCGGCAGCACATCAAATGCAGCTGCTAATAACAACAACAACAACAACAATAAAATTAATAATTTAGGTGGCATCGGTGCAGATACCGTACAATTATCATCACGTGTCGTACACACAAAATATGGCTCTGTGTCGGGTGTGATTGTGCACTTGGAAGGACGACATTTGGATCCGGTCGAAGCGTTCAAGGGAATTCCGTATGCCTCGCCGCCAATTGGATCGTTGCGATTCATGCCTCCAGTCACCGGTGCTCTTTGGTCGGGTGTCCGTAAAGCTGATCGGTAAGTAAAAATTCATCTATTTTTGTGTTGTCTGTGCGTGAAAAATTTACATTGTCATTCAAAGGATTCATTTACATGAAAATAGAATCAAGTGTCGATTATCGTCAAGGGTGCAATAACTTGTGATTGTGAGACAAAAGATTTTTTTTTCGCATAGTAAGACGTTCTTTTTCAGAAGCACGTACCGTATCCAAAGGCATGGCAATCTCATTTGTTGGATTGTTTAACAAAAAACAATTCCTTGATTATTATTGGCAAGCGCCCAGTTTATTAGCATTCATAGAGCATTCGTACGCTGTGTAGTCAAAGGCATCAGCTTCTGTTCCAAGCAACAAATCTCCATTTCACGGTTGATTCCTTTGGGCAAACCTTGACGGTGGTTGGTAAAACGTCATGGCTTTTTGTTTATTTTCGTGTTCTTCAAATAATTTTTGGAATGAATGGCGAAAATGCGGTGCTCGTTGGTGGTAACGACAACAACGACGCTGACGGTGGTGTTGGTGCGACTGAAATCCAATAAGCGGTGCCCCATTTAAATTTTATGATTAGAGCAATCTGTTTCTATCAAGATGAAACGCAAGTAAAACAACAACCTCAACGGCAACAGCCACCAGCAACCAGCAACGCGAATAATATTCAAATATTCAAAAGGAAAATAATATTTAGTTGCATTGTTGGCTGAATATGAAGGCAAAACGCGGCCTATGAACACCTACCTTTGCAATGCAGATGGGAACTGCGCATCCAATCCGATACACACCGTATTTGGAGTCGTTCTTAAAACATCCATACCTTTTATGTGCACATTTACTTTGGGTATTCGAATTCATTAAACAGATAGATCGAGGTTACTCTTTTTTTCCCTCTCTGACTCTCTCTCTCACTCCTCGAAAAGATTCTCAGACATTGAATAATAGAATTGGCACACATAAAGTTGCCATCGGTCGTTCATCCGCACCATGATTTCGGCGCAAAAATGATCACTTACACGATTCACTATGCACAAACAACTTGAGCATAAGCAAAACGCATCACATTCCAAGGGCGAGTTGCCCAGGAATGAGTGAAAAAAAACATAAGGCCGCTGGCAAAACCGAATGATGAGCATGCTCATCCATTTGAGAAAGAGAAAAAGCCGCGCAAACGAAATCTAACTGCGAAGCAAAAGCATTTATTTTAATGTCTTCATTAAAATTAATGGGCAGTCATCAAACAGCAAAACAAGGCTTCTCTCTCTCTTTTCCCAATCTCTCGCTCTCTCTCTCCTTGTGTCGGTGTATATGTGTGTCTGTGCATGGTTAGTGTCTTCGTTCATTGCCTGAACAATGTTTGCCAACACTTTTTGTGTAGCATCGGTTTTTTATGACTCTGTGCCATCACTGAAAGCCTCCACATCTATATCTTGTTATGCCTGTCGGGCGACTTCTTCTCTCTCGTATCCACTGTATATACATTTATACCGTGCACACAAACGAGATATTTGGGAAAAGACAGAAAAAATCTATAGCAAGACAAAAAAAATTACGAACTTTGAATTTTACGTTATCGCGAGCACCTAATTTTCAACTCCTGTCGTTCAAATTTAAAATAGTAAATCTTCTAAATGCTCGGGCACAAAATGTAAAACGTGGAGCGCCTCGCACACACCTCACCGTTATTAACATGCTGGAATTTTCGTTAGTAAATTTATCATATTGTGATATAAATCAAAGTAGAGCTTTTGGTTGGATGAAAACAATAGCAAAGCTGAATGGCAGTTTTGGATGTTCCATAAGCAAGGGAATGAGCGCATACACACAAGCACAAAATCCGAAACATCCTAACGTTTGCACATTTATTTAGCAAACAGAGACTCATTTGGGTAAATTGAATATTTTTACAAGAGAGCCAAAATAAAGAGAGCGAGAGAGAGAGCGAAATTTAATTTGGTTTTGTTCTCATGATTCATTATGCTAAGTACATGGAGAGGAAAAGCGTTTGTAGAATGACAATAAATTTATCAGCGATGCAAAAAGTGGATTTTATTTTGCTTCGTAGTTTTTTTCTTTTTTTCTTTCTCTGGCTATGACTTGATTCGTTAGGAAATCGATTTTACAAACGAATTTATATATCTAAATCCGAAATCACGCAGACTCAACAGTTCCAACGGCATTAAATTGATAAGAAAAATAAATTTTCATGCACGTTTATCGTTTTGCTGGTAATTTTCACGAGTGTGTGCGTGTATTTTTGGATTGAATGAAATAGAAAAAGTAAAATGTCTGGGCACAAAGATTAATCAAGTGCTACATTAGAGTAACAAAGTTTTTGGCCAATCTCTTATTTTCTGAATTAAAGCAAACCGCACGGATAATATTCCGAACGCGTGGGCAATAAATTCTGTCCGACCAAACAAAACGGCATACAGCATTTATTCAATTGTGCAGAGGGATCACGTACTCGAGCGCGATAAACATGCTTCGACGGAGAGAGAGAGAGAACGAGAGCCTCGCTTGCAACACAGCACAATATTTATTTTTATAGAAAAGGAAAACTGAATTAGCCATATCAAAAGTAAACCGCTTTGCTTATTTAATTTGTGCCGAATCTCGGCACTCGCAATAACGTACCCGTCCGTTGTTGTATGGTTATGTTGTAACAAAAACACACATACACAATATGGCAACGAGATGGCAACGTTTGATTCGCCGAAATATCCGGAATTCACACCATCTCTTGTAACCCGTGCAAATTAAATTCGTTCCTTTCGTACGAGGGCGCTTCGTGACGTACACAGTGACCGGCACAGAGACAGACGAACGGAGGAAGCGTGTTCATGTTCAAGCCATCAAAATGTTCTCTCAAAGTCGAACGGTCGAGATTTTGTGGAGCAAAAATATGCAAACATTCCCATTTCCGTGTTCGAAAAACGTAACATCAATATCCATTCTTAGCGGTGATACGGAAGAAAATCGTTTTCATTCTTCATTCTCCGTGGATTGCCCAATTTAATTTAAACTTAATGTATTTTGATTTTAATCGTTTTCGCTTCGTTCTCCTTCTTCGGTTGCGGTTCGTCTTTGCGCCCTTTCTCCCAAAAGTGTTTTGCATAACGATTCCTTATTAGGGAATTGCCATTAAATAATTAAAATTTGACGTACAGTTCAAAGCAATATCGAAAACCATATTCGCTCTATATTTCCAACTTGACCCACTGATGCTGGTCGGATAAGATGAGGTGATGGCTTTTCACTCGACACACCATTCTTATGTCGTCATGTACACAAAACCAAATCTCAAAGCAAACGCAGGATGAAAATCACGAGACGGTGAATTTTCAAATTTTCTATTAAAATACACTTAAATCTATGTTGATATTAATTTTGTGTTGCCCTCAAATCCAACTACTTGGACCGGCATGAATTTGAAGCGTGTTGAACAAGTGGATGATGAGAGCGCCGGGGCGACGAAAAGAGTATGTGTGTGTGTGTGTGGAAAATATGGTAATTTTAAATTTGAAACGCTATTGTGACTGGCGGCTATTTTGTGTTCACTGCACCGTTCATCATGAGATTGCAGCAGCAAGTCTTGAGACTTCAAGGATGCTTCAACAACTCTTTATCGTGTGCGGGAATAAATTGAAGATTGATTTAAAATTGAATTTATTTTTAGCATGTACGTCAGACACATAATTCCGAAGTCAAAACCATATCAAAGTAACGACATACATTCCTCTCTCTTTTTCTCGGTGACAATTTTGTCCATTTTTTCTCAACCATCTCCTTCATGCCACACCAACTGTGGGATAAGCGTAATACGTAATATAAACCGCATTTAACGCTACAGCAAAACCAATAACAGTACTGTGGCAACATAATATCTTTTTCTCACCAAATCTGCATAACTTGTCTTTTTTTCTTCTCTGCTGTAGCCCCCCTATATTCAACTAGAATATTTTCATCGAATCGAATAAGCTTACGTAAGCCTCTAAGCAGTTATGAGTTTGAGATGCGGTAAAAAAGTTGGATGGAGCAAGCCCAAGTAATTTAATCAAACTCGATTTTTTTCGTGTTGCTTGACTAGAAATTGGTTAAAAAAAATTGATTCGGTAGTTGGATTTCCATTTGCCATGCGCAACCTTGTTTTTCTTTCAGCTAGACAAAATTCGAGTCTAATTAAAAGTATGAGCTACTTTGAGTACGTGGGAAAAACACGAAGAATTTGCTTTTTGTCAAGGTTGAATTCGGTTTGTCAACCAGCATCGCATTGTCTGCATGTAAACTCAAGAGAATTCTCAATACACGCAAAGAATAAGCGGTAATTTTCGTGAGGACTTCTTGTGTGCAATAATTTTCCGCTGGCTCTAATCATTTCTTTGCTGAGTCAGCACTCTCTCTCTCTCTCTCTCTCTCGGTTTGGCTTAATACAGCTGATTTTCCATGCACCAACATGAAAATTCTTTCACAACACAAAAGTCGTCATCTAATTACATCGTCGACGTCGACGTCGTCGTCGTCATCGCTTTTTCCCCTTGCACTCGAGATACTTGCTCTCGAATGGTTTTCTCTTTTGCTGCTTCATTATTATTGTCATCATCATTAGATTTATAGGGAGAAAGTGGGGAAAAAATGAAAATTACTTGCCTTTTTCATAGCAACTTGCACACATACTGTACATGCACACCATTTATTAATAATCTCGAAAATTTTTAAATTGTTTTCATTTTTGCAGCATTCCGCTACTGGCTTCACAACGACTTTTTTTTTATCATGCCATTACTCTTATCGGACTGGCAATGCTCGTAAACGGGCGCAATTCGTTGTTGTCCTTAGCATCGTTCGCCCTTTTCCTTCATCTCTTCGTTGCTTTCGTCGTCGTCGTCGTCATCATAACTCCAAAAAGAATTCCCCCATTTACACTTGCTGATGATGTGCTAGCGCGCTCATGCCGCTCTCACGCGCCGCCATTCATTTTCACACTTTCAAAACAATTCTGATAGCGCACAAAATTAAACTTATTAC